AACAAAGCGACAGGATCATAATCAGGTTTGACAATGACTCTAAGACCTTTCGCGCCAACTGGCTTATCTGTGGATTGTTTTTTAACTCGTGTTTGTCAGCAGTTATTCTATACACACACAAAGAATGTTATTGCTTTCATCATCCCTGGAAAAGGAAGAAGATGGGGCAATTCTTGGGACCAAGTTATATTAAAGTTGACGTTTCGAAAAAAATCCTCGTCCTCATCGTCAGAGCGTGGTGTCTACTCTTCCGGCGGCCTCGAATGACTGCGTCTCACCGCCAACCTCGTGTTATACCGGTGACTGATGCACGCGCCCAGAATAAGGACGGTAAAGAGCGAATCTCGAAAGTTAACTAGTCGTCGACATGAAAGGAATTATATTAGTTCCCACAAAAAGACCCTATAAATGTCCAAGGCTGTGCTTCAAGTTTCAGCTCGTCGACGGTTGGACATCGATGAAACAAAGCAGGGCAGGACTAAGAAGAATATCTATGCTAAACACGAGTGGCAAGCAAGAGACGGCAGCTGTATATTACGTCAGCCACTGTGTCCAAAGTTGACTCCAATCGGCGTGAATCATTCTGTATTTACATAAGCAGAATGAGAAGGCGAGTGAAACCGACTCAAGGCGATCTTTTCTCATTTTAATAAGATGAACGTGCTTTACCATGTCCACCATACTAAGAATGCTAAATTGTGGGATACACTGGTCACTAATCCCTGTATGGGATTCAAGCTAATTAAGTATGCTTGGTGTCGACGGGGGGCGCATCCGACGAGTGACAAGTTCGTTCGGTAGTTTATCACAGACCAGCCGATTTCATAAAGTCAGCCTAAAAACATCCAGCCTCTGCTCAGAAATGCAAACTCCAGTAATGGCTGCTTTCCTCTGGAAGCCCAGAATGCACCACTGAGCTCACTGTCATGTCTTCGGTATCACATCGGACTTGCAATGAGATAGGACTAAAATAGTCGCTGTTCTCGCGAGAGGACAAGCCAAGTCACACCACTGATGTCCAACGACATCTTCTTGTTAGAATCACAGGACCACCAGTCTGTCGCACTTTTACCAAGGAAATTAGTGTAAAGTTTCATGTTTTCATTTAGGACCAAGAGCGCAACCATCAAGTGATTTGTTGTCTTCCGAAGAGGTCTTTGAGGGATGCTGAAAGCCAGCAGTACGAAAGACAGTATCTAGTGCGAATCCAGGGCGGTGACAAACCCAATGGGCGCAACCTCCTCCTCTTTCCCCTTCCGAGGAAGGTTGACAGACACTTGCAGTTTATCGGGGCATATATAAAGTAGCATTAGTTTGCAATGGGCGTTCTTTTTTGCCTTGCTGGGTGTCTGCGCACGTAGCCAGCGGTTGAAAACAAGACGAGGATGTGGAGCTTGAGAAACTTAAAGATATGGTAAG